AACTGAGGGCATCAACCACCTCAGAGACCATGCAGTACAGGTACGAGACATGAAACAGGAGGTAGAGAAACAGGTAAAAACTCTCCACTAGCTTGGGTATGCAGTCTCTGGTCTTTAAAAAGGCTAGATCAAATGCAGTCATTATCTCAGACCGCATGTTCAGATTAAAACAAGCATGACATGAGTCTTCTTTACTAGGTATGTCTAACATGTAAGAAAGCTGTTTTCTATAAACGCACACTTTTGTTAAATCCTGCATTCGTTTGCTTCCTGCAGGAAGGCAGTGAAGGCGACTCTGGTGCTGCTGCCTCTGTTGGGAATCACCTACATGTTGTTCTTTGTGAATCCTGGAGGAGAGGACGAAGTCGCTCAGATTGTCTTCATCTACTTTAACTCCATCTTGGAGTCCTTCCAGGTGCACCTCAAAACTATTACCCTTTGACTGACCTTCAACTCTACTCTATATTGCTCAGCTAAACTAAGCTAAGCTAAGCTAAGCGACCCTGCATTTGTAGCATTGGTAACAACCATCGCTCTGTTAGCAGCTTATTACCTTACAGTCTTAAATCACTATTAGAAGCCTGTTAGCAATGTTAGCTACATATTAGTAATGTCGGCAGCCTATTACTGTTAGCAGTATCCGCTCACTGTTAGCAACCTATCAGCAGAGTTAACAGCTAACTCTCTCTCCTCTCCCTCTGTCTATCACTACAGGGTTTCTTTGTTTCTGTTTTCTACTGTTTTCTCAACAGTGAGGTAATTTGGTTTCCTATTCTTTTCTATTTCTGTGTTTCTGGTGTGCCACAGGGTTCTTTACTTAGACCCCTTTGCGTTGTTATAATGAAACTTTTACAACTACTTAAGTGTAAGTCAATATTATTTATTAATCTGTCTGTACCTGTCTGTCTGTCTGTCTACCTGCCTGTCTATTTGTCTGTCTGTGTGCAGGTGCGGTCTGCGGTCAGGAAGCGTTGGATTCGTTGGCAGGATCGTCACTCCTTCCGGAGCCGGGTGGTACGCGCCACGTCATTACCCACCTCGCCAAGCAGAGTCTCCTTCCACAGCATCAAACAGTCTTCCAACCTCTGACCTCTAATAGGTCCGCACTCATCCAACTACAACATGTGATGTCACTCCAGTCAGCCAATCAGACGCTTGCTTAACCTGACCAATGGATCAGCTTAAACCAGGGATTCACAGAGCAGGACAGACTTTTGGAGCCAATCACCATGTAAGTCAGGACTCTGTGTGGCCCCGCCCCCTCTTAATGTACCGACCAATCACTGGACTCGACCAATCAGCAGCCTCCACAATGTTACAGGTGCCCCATCAAGGAGCAGGACTGTGTTCATATAATTAATTTATTGACTTATCAGTGTTATTGACGAGCTAACTGTTCATGAGCTGATATTATATTGATCACCAGCTTTCTCCTGTTTAACAGTCATATCAGCACACACACATTAATGGATTAATATGTCAAACAGTCTTCAGGTGGATCACTTCGGACCCCCGTGGTGTTTCTGGTTTCAGGTTCTTCATCACTTTTGTTCTCACTATCAAGAGAGTGAGACAAACGCGATTACGATTTTGGTTGCCGCATAAAGCAGATAAAAACATCAAACAACAACAAACGATTCACTTAAAGGTTATGTGGAGAAATCTACCCCAGTGGCCATTAAGTGAACTGCGGTCAGAATCCTGTCGCTAACACCATAGGCACGACCAATCAGCGACTAAATAAAAGACATAAGTGTGTCAGAAACAACATACTAACGTTCTGCCTCCTACATACTCAAACAATATACATATATTACCAACTGCTTATTAACCCAACCAACAGTATGCTACTACTCACTATATAGTGCACTCAATGTATCCCACAATGCATTATGAAAAGTAGTGTACAATGGTCACTATGCAAGCAATATATACCATCATGCATTGCAGTTCAAAGCTTTTTGTGAGTGGAAATTGGCGTTTGACTTTCAAAACGTCAACACAGAACACATAAATATGAAAAAGTGAACATAGTGGGGCACTTTCCCTAAAATCAACAAGCTGCTTTAATAAAGAATAAAGAATTTTCAACAGAGTAGTTAGTTTTTCAGATAGATGATGACAGGCATGAGACCAGAGTGTGTAAGCACAAATAAATGAATTTTAGTGTGAACATATGTTTCATTATTTATTTAAAAAATCTGTGTTTATTTTTTATTTTGAACTGTTTTTGTTCAAATACACAGTGTAATGTTAGTAATCACTGAAATTCATGCCGTTATTCACCGGCCGGCATTAAAGGCAGGTTGGTCATTTACTCCAGATCCACTTTTTAAGATTCTGGTTGAAATTGTCTTTAGGTCCTGACAGAAATTAATAACTCAGGTGCTCTGAGAAAGGGAACAAAGAAAATCCATCATCTGTATCAGTTGTAAGTCTGTAAAAACTTCGACCAATGTCTGCCACGAGGTACCAATCTGATGAACCAATCACACGCCTCCCTGCTCGTTGCATGCACTAGACTGAAAGCGAGCCACTAATGACGGAGTTTATACTGTGAGTATGACGTTTGTCGTTGTGAGTCGTAAAACAGTCACATTTTTTTAGTATTATTATAAAGTTCAGTGTTTACTTCCCGCTGAATGAGACATGAGACGACGTAGTTTCTGCACAATGCAAACAATGAGCTGAGGTCCGCTTCTGGAGAAACGGCGCTCGTGCATGTAAGTGAGGGGTGTGGCTTTTGAGGGAGCACAGAAGGGAGGGGGTGGGTGCAGACGGAGCACTGAGGGAATGCTCCTTTCAAAATCATGCTAGTTTTCAAAAATGACCAACCCTGCCTTTAAGCTACAAGTTTTAGTTTAGGGACAGCAATGACATCACTGTCTAGGGCCGACTAGTGAGCGAGTAGTGTCTGAAATGTTTTTTAATTGTGGTGAATGAGTGCACTATAAAGTCCACTACATATAACTCCCTGTAGTGAGTAAGGAGTAGGGAATCAGTGTGTGTGATTTCAGACACAACCTTTGTTGCTTGTGAAGTATTTCAACATAAACTCCTCCACAGTGTTTTGGTGTACTACAGCATGAACACCGATTGGACATCAGACGATTACTGCAGCACTTTAAAAACACACCGGAGATCGTGATCTCTGAATCTGAAAAATATATATTTTTTATAAACTGCGACGGATGAACAAACACATACATATTCTTAATAGAATTAAACAGTCTGAGAACAAAGATTCACTCAAATTATATTTGATAGTTTGTGAGCATCAGGACTGGCTGCAGGAGTTTATCCTCGATTTGTTGCAGACTTGCTTTTGTACTTTGAATATTTGCACTTTCCATGCGATGAGCGCTGTACACAACAGTTAATATATATATGATATTTAATATAGATTCATCTTTAATTGTAAAGTTGTGCACATTTGCACTGTGCAGAGTTAACTGTATCTTAAAGTAAACAAAACTTTGCCCTCATAGAGAACAGTATCGTACTAACAGTAACATCAGTAACCGTGGTAACCGTAGCATAGTAGGTAGCAGTAGGTGTGTGTAGATGGAAACACTCAGGATGAAACATAAACTGCTACTCTTCCTTCTGGACCTGAAGTTGTCCTTTACGTGTGTGTGTGTGTGTGTGTGTGTGTGTGTGTGTGTGTGTGTGAGAGAGAGAGAGAGTTTTTGTGTGTGCATGGTTGTGTTAATGAATGTGTTTATATTGGTATTATGATAACTATGACATCACTGGCATTATTTGCGGGAAATTGCTTGAACAATATCTGATATAAAGACATTTTGTAAATACTTGTTTATAATATTTGCAGATTAAATATCGTTTAAATTCTGATATCAGGGGCACTTCTTCTAAAGTCATGTTTAAAGAACACCTGAGTGGATTTTTAAGTGGCATCAGCTGGATACTATATACATATGTGAGACTCCTCTGTGTCTTTTGATGTCTTATACTTAATCAATAAATCGATCCAAATGATACGAGTCATTTTATTGTTATCTATTGTTTATGATGCAACCATGATCAGAATCAAAACAGTTAAACATTAGAGCAGTTTAGGGTTTATGTCAGTTAGTTATAAACCTTTATTAGCGTTTAGACACTATCTGATGGCTGACGATGATCTACAGACTGACTACAACACCCATCAGCACCACCTCTGTCATCATGTTTATGATAAACTTTACAATAAAATGTATACAAAAAAAAATCAAAACAGTAATTATGTTGGTTGAAATTATCTGTGTGTCACTACAACTTGTGAATTTCATTTTAAAGTAAAACAAAGGACGTTATGAGACGTGTTTATCCATCAGATGTTCTTTAGTGCTGAAAAAATAGAAACAAGGCAGACATGTATTCATGGCTTTACTCGAGTATCACTAACATGTGTAGGCCTAAATACGTGCAAATATTAGTTATTACAGTAAAATGACTTGTTATGTAGCACATGGTCTTATTGGATTAGTAAACTATTAGACAGTTAAATGAGTGAATCATGAGTATATAAAGTTTATGTTCCGTTATTATAATAAATAGGTTATGTAAATCCAAAATAAAGCTAGGCCTATAATGTAATGTTTTAATCTGCTGCTGTCAGAATAATGTAGAGCAGTAAGAATACAAGTAAGGTAAAAAAAAAAAGAATAGGTGTACCTCGACACCTGTGTAGTGAGTGTAGTAGGCATGTATTTAGTTTGTGAGTGATTTATTTCACAAAACATGAAGAATATTTTCATCATGAGTGCATCGGCTTACTTTGGTGATTTCACAGTGCGCAGGTGCCGCAGGTTGCCACGGCAATAACCGCCTCGTCTCCCAGCATGCAGCAGCAGTAGCAGAGCGCCCCCCTCCACAGAGTGCGGCAGCAGGTGGAAGTGCAGAAGGGTGGAGCAGCAGACAGACGGACATCAGCAAGGAGGTAAGACACTGAAAAATTCTCTTTCTGCGGATTTCTTTGTTTCTGTCTTTTTCTTCTCTTTTCTGTCTGCTCTCTCTGTCTGTCTAAGTCTCTCTCTCTCTTCTGTTTGTCTGAAAGTCTCTGGCTGTCTGCTTCTCTGTTTGTGCTCCATGTGTCTCTGCCGCTCCCCTGTCTGAAGGATGGGGGGGGCGGCGGCAGCGGTGGCAGAGGCGGCAGCCGCTCGCTGAGGTATTTTCCGCTCTCTTGCCGCCTGTCACCGTTACATAAGACGCAACGTTTGCCCTGTTACCCTTCTGACTAATTAAGATTCAGATCAAACACACAGAGGAGAAGCTGGCCTGCACGTGAACGCGCTTTCTCGTGTGCAAGCTTATGATTGACAGGTGGAGGAGACATAGAATTTAATAGAAACTGAATTTACTGGTTTTGTTGCTGCATCATCATCATGGAGGATTTACTGTGTTACTGAGCATGCGCACTGACTCAACTAATGCTCTTCAACTCTTGTCGTTCTCCCACCCTTCTCCTCCTCTTATCATCTCCCCTCCCCTCCTCTCCCTCTCCTCCTTTATTCCACTCTCTCATCCCTCTCGACTCATTTTCCAACACCTCCACTTCACTCCCTATTTTTCTTCCTCTCTTCCCTTCCTTATCTCCTCTCTCGCTCTCCTTTTCCTCTCATCTTTCTCCTCTGTAGGAGTGAAGATGGATGGATACTCCGCCCCCGTTGGAGGTGGTCCCACCCCTGCAGACCAGAGCATGTCAGGAGGTAGGTGCATTTAAATAAAAATTAAAAAAGACAATGCCATAATGTGTACTATCATTAATAAACTGCAGTATTTTATATCAGTAACCATTTTTTCCTGAAGGAACCAAAACAGTGAATCTACATCTAACTGACAACTTTCCCTCAGCTTACAACCGTCCAGAAGCTCAACGTTAATTCCTAAGTATCTAATAGTTGTCTAAAACAGCTCTTGGTAACACCTTTCTTACAATTATTCATGAACTAATAACTATCAGCCACCGTTGAGATTTCTGCTGAGATCAGAAAACTGCAGCTGAGTATTTCTTTCTAACAGCCTACGACCTTTTTTTTATTTTTTTAAAAGTGCAATCATGCTAGTTACCTGTATTGTATAGTTGAGCCTTCTGTTTCAGTAACATCTGCAATTTTGAAGTACGGACCCGCAGCCCACCACGACCATGTGCAAACGTGCACACAGTCCCGCTGCACACCTCTGCTGGTCCCCTGAGTCTTTTTCATCAAATCAATACTCCGCGAGGTTAATCTACCTAACAGCGTGCTTCTGTTTTCTTTACATGGAGGATTATTTCTTTATGAGGGAGAAAAAAAATGTATCTCAGCACATTTAGCGCAGAGAAGCAGTCGCTTGCAATAAGAAGTTTCAGGTCCTGTGCGGCGGGTGTGGCGGCTGAACTTGTGGTAATGACGTGTCAGCATTTTATACCGGTATAAAATCTATTGTAAAATCTAATTACAACAACAACAATCCTGAAAAAAAACAGTTATCGACAAGCTAATAAATCTCCATACGCTAATGGATATCTAGAAGCTAACAGCTAGCTTCTAGATATGCGTCTTTGTTGTGCTGACTGATGGATTCCTGTCCTTATCTTCCTCCTGTGTGATGATGTGTCAGCTTGTTGATGGAAACAGGAAGTCCCCGCCTCCTGTTACCATTAGCAACCACTTTGACAAAGACATCTTCGTTACATGGTGACGTGTTCAATTACATCCAGTCAGTTTATTCGTTCTCAGTGTTTGTCTCGTCTCCTCCTGTCTTCTCCTGCTCTCCTCTCCTCTTGTCTCCTCCTCTCCTCCGTCTCCCCTTGTCTCCTCCTCCCTCAGACCTTGACTCCATCAGTTCACTGGATAAGCTTCCAAATGGAAGCATAGCAAAGCGGGAGGAGGAGGCGAAGGGGCAACGGGATGAAGGTGAAGTGGTGAGGAGCAGCCCTGAGGAGCAGCCGGAAAGGATGGATAAGGAAGAGGAAAATGAAAGATTTGTGAATGAGAAAGAGGAGGAGGAAGAGGAGCGGCCTTGGGACAAAGAGCGAGTGAAGGAGGAGGAGGACAAAGAAGAGAAGCAGCCAGAGCTTCCCTGCTCCCCCACCAGACCTTCTTCTGATGACGGAGGAGCAGACAAAGAAGAGGAGGAGGAGGAGGAAGAAGGAGAAGAAAAGGAAATGGAGAAGGTGTCAAAGGAGGAAGAGGTAGACCTACAAGATAAAAATGGAGGGAGTGAGAAGAAACAGGAGCATCTCACA